ACACACACACACACACACACACACACACACACACACACACACACACACACACACACACACACACACAAAACATGTCCCCAAGTACTCCAAAACAGGGAAAAAGGCATTTTCCTTTTTAATGCTGTTCCAGCCGCTGACAGTTGCCCTTTTCTCAGTAGCTGCCAGTTCCACTAGTAACAACTGATCTCTGGATGGATATCTGGAGGGTTACACTGTGGCACCACAATACAACACATTCACATCAGTTTAATAAAAATAGCTGGCTTAAATGGCATTAAAATGCAGTATTTCTAACTACAGCAACACCTTGATGCTGCGCAAACCTGGCTCTGCACTGGCAGAAGGCTCTGCGTATTAGCCAGTAGTACACTATATTCCCAAAAGAATTTGTTTGTTTGCCTTCACACACATAAAAACTTAGTTGCATCCCATTATTAATACATAGGGTTTAATATGATGTCAGCCCACCCTTCGCAGCTATAACAGCTTCAACTCTTCTGGGAAGGCTTTCCACAGGTTTAGAAGTGTGTTTATAGGAATTTTTGACCTTTCTCACAGAAGACATTTTTGAGGTCAGACATGTTGGATGAGAAGGACTGGCCCAAAACTGTTGGGAAACAAAGTTGGGAGCATGTCCAACATGTTTTGGTATGCTCAACCATTAAGAGTTCCTTTCACTGGAACTAAGGGGCTGAGCCCAAGTTAGGAAAAAACACCCCCCTCCACCAAATTACACTTGGCACAATGCAGTCAGACAAGTACTGTTCTCTTGGCAACTGCCATACCCAGACTCGTCCTTCAGATTCCTAGACAGATAAGCACGAGTCCTCACTCCAGAGAAAATGTCTCCACTGCTTTAGAGTCCAGTGGTGTGGTGCTTTAAACCACTGCATCCGACATATTGCATTGTGCTCGGTGATGTAAGGCATGGATGCAGCTGCTCGGCCATGGAAACCCCTTCCATGAAGCTCTCTACGCATTGTTCTTGAGCTAATATGAAGGCCATATGAAGTCTTGAATCTGCTGAAAGCTGCTGTTATTTTACTTGCCCTACCACTTCATGGAGTTGCAGTCATTCCCAGTGGCTTCCACTTTGTTATAATACCACTAAAAGTTGACTGAAATGTTTAGTGAGAAAATTTCATGACTCTACTTGCACAGGTGGCATCTTATCACGGTAATATGCTGGAATTCACTGAGATCTAGAGAAAGAGAGCTATTCTTTAACAAATGTTTGTAGATTCTATACACCTGTGTTCATGATCGAAACGCCTGAACTCAATGATTTGGCACTATAGTGTATATGGCCGCTGATATTTAATGCCTCCCTTTGTAAAACAAGAAAAAAATAAGGAGGAAACCCATGCAGATCAATAGAAAGGAAACTTTTTTCAAGGCTGTTTGCTTTCATGTTCTATATGAGTATTGTACGTGTTTTCTTACCTAAGGCTTACTCTTCCTCTTGCAGCATCATTTCAACACATACTTAAGGATCCCAGACACATCCCAGGTGTGTTTTATTCTGCAGCCCCCAGCAAGATGAGAAAAGGAATAAAAGAATTATGCACCATTTTACCAAGTGGGTGCTCAAAGTGCCATCTGCCTTATTTAAAGTAATACGAACGTTTAAAGTTATATCATCAAGTTTCCCCTCGTGCGGAACAATAGATGGCACTGTTGAAGGCTTCCAAGTTTTCCCTGGGACACAAACATTTCTCTTTTAAAGCTCAGCAGTAAGGTTCTGCACCAAAACAGCAACATGTTATAAAGTGTGTCAGATAATAAAGCTCCTTCAACCCTATCTTTAATATTCCAGTGATTTTTTTCAACCACCAAGGATGACTACAATCCTTTCTGTTTGTGAAAACCTTCAATTGAAGAAAAGAGCACTTCCATTCCCCCGCATGCTGTCTGTAATTTGTGATGCCTATAAATAAGAGGCTTTGAAGCTCTGCACTTCCACATCATCAATAATGTGTTTGTTTTGCAGAGTTAAAATTGCTCTGCTTCTTTGTTGCTTTCCATTGCATCCTTGCCAAAGTTGTTTCCATTCTCTCTCCGTTATTCCTTTCACAGAAGGTCAACTGAGATGGGGCTTGAGATTTTTATAAATAGCACACAAAGTAACCAAGTGCTCCAACCATTGGCACTGAGCACATTTATTACACAGAGCTTGGAAGTTGTTTTGAAGGAAACAACTAAGAAAACTCAGCTGCATCACAGAAGATAATGTGTGCTTTATCAAACGTGTGGAATCTTCTCTCAGCTTCCAGACAAGCTCCAGCTCATATGCAGAACCACTTGTATCTGCTTATAAAAATGCAGTTACTGAATAAGATGTTAAACAAAGCATCCAAAAAGTGCCCCTGTTTATAAAGAATAAAACAAAGCATGGTTCTTTTTACCTCTTAACCAGGTCATCGGCTATCCATCTAATGTTAGAGTTGGGTATTTAGTTTGTGCTTAACAGGCATATTTTCAGAAATTCAAAATACTCAAAAGCCATTTTATTCAGTGCACCCATTCAGCTGCTTGTTAATGCAAATATTTAATCACAGCCAGACTGCTTTAAGGAGGCAGGAAGGCCACAGTAATTACAAATAATCGCTCGGTACAACCAAGGTATGCAGAAGAGCATCTGTGAATGCACATCACGTCAAATCTTACAGCAGCAGAAGACCACACCAGCAGGATTGGAAAAACACTGCCTGATGTGATGTGTGTCATTAAGATGTTAGGGTCAGAATTAAGTGTGGACAACATGAAAACATGGATCCAAGTTGTTGTTGGTTGTATAATGGTGTGGATGATATTTTCTTGATATACTTTCGTCCCCTTAGTATCAGCTGAGCATTGTTTAAACACCACAGACTACCTGAGTATTGCTCCTTAACCATGTTCACCCCTTTATCACCACACTAAATCCATCTTCTGATGGCCGCTTCCAGCAGGATAAAGCATGTCACAAAGCTCAAATAATTATCCATGTATTTACTAAGGCATTGGTCGAACACAACGCTTGTTTCACCTTGCTTGGAAACACTTCTGGTGTCCCAAAAGAGTCTTTTAAATCTTAGATGCATGGATATGTCACCTTGTAGTTAAGTGCTTTTGTGTAAGCTGTTATGGATGTAATTTCCAAGTTACTTTAACTACAGGATCATCCAACAGGTTTGTGCTGTCATGTCCCAAGCCACGCTATGTCTCTGACAGCATATTATTTGATT